AGCCCAGAAATTGCATTTCTTACAAACATACAAATCTTTTCCTTGTTATTATTCCCTAAACAATACATTATAACAACCATTTACATAGTATTTAATTCTGTTAGGTATTATAAGTAATCTAGAGTACTTAAAGTATGTGGGAGGATGTGCAGAGATTGGATGCAAATACTACACCATTTTATATAAGGGACTTGCACATCCTCATATTTTGATATCTATAGGATTGGTTGGGGCAGGGCAGTCCTGCAACCAATTCCCCTCACATACTCAGTGACAATTGTATGAAGAAAGGTCTAGCCAGGCATGGTGGTGCAGGCCTGTGATCCCAGTGACTCAGGAAGCTGAGGCAGGAGGACTGCAGTGAGACCAGACTCAACTTAGTGAGACCCTGTCTCAAAAAAATAAAAAGGACTAGGGTATAGCTTAGAGGTAGAGCACTTGCCTAGAGTGTAGGAGATCTGGGGTCAGTCCCCAGTAACACAAAAAAAGAAGTCCAAGGAGTAAGGATTTTTGGTGTTATATCCAAATATAGTAAAAATAGCATCATTGCCAATATCTAACTAGATAATTAATTGAGGTAAAGAAATTTCATTAAAATCTCCACATATTTTGTTTTACAAATAAGTCAACACTTAGATCTGATTATAGTTGTTGATAGACTGTAGTGATGGGGCAAGAATCCTGGGCACGGTGTTGCATGCCTGTAATCCCAGTAACTCAGGAGGCTAAGGAAGAAAGATTTTGAGTTCAAAGCCAACCTCAGCAACTTAATGAAGCCCTAAGAAACTCAGTGAGACCCTGTCTCTAAATAAAATATTTTAAAAGGGCTGGGGATGTGGTTCAGTGGTTAAGTGCTTCTGGGTTCAATCCCCAGTACCAAAAAAAAAAAAAAAGAAGGAAGAATACTGGTCATATGAGAAACAATTGATGTTACTTTTTCATCTGGGTGCTAAGGTGGTTTCTTATTGAGATCAGAAATACGGCAAAGAAACTTTAAGCTTATAGAATTAGAATTATAGGCACTTTTTTTTTTTTTTAAATCACTCTTATACTTTTTCAGCTTCATCTCGAGCCACTTCCTGCTCACCAATAGTTTCTTGGGTTCTCTTTCCATTCCTGAAGTGCCACACTTTTTTTTTTCTTTTTCTGGTACTGGGGATAACCCAGAGGTGCTTAACTGGTGAGCCACCTCCCCAGCCTATTTTTTTTATTTTGAGCAGGATCTTGCTGAATTGCTGAGGCTGGCTTTGAACTTGGGATCCTCCTGCCCCAGCCTCCTGAGCTGAAATTACAGTCATGCACCACTGTGCCTGGCTGCCATTCATTTTTTTCCCTTAATTTTTTTTGTTTAAGTTGTAAACAAAAACCTTTATTTATTTATTTATTTGTATGTGGTGCTGAGGATCAAACCCAGCCTCTCATGTGCTAGGTGAGTGCTCTGTTACTGAGCCACAACCCCAGCCCTGCCATGCCTTTTTTTTTAGGACCCTTAATATTTCTTATTCCTTCTGCCTGGACATTCTGCACCTCTTCTCCCTGCTACTGTCTGACACAACAGAATCCAGTGTTAGCCACAAATATGAGCATGATCAGAATTTTAAATATTTTTGTTACCCACATTAATAACAAACAGGTAAGTTTGATTTTTAATATTGTATCTTATTTAACCTGTGATAAACAATATTTTCAACATGTATTCAATGTTTAAAAATATGATACAGGACTGGGTAATGCATCCTTTTTAAAAAAATATATATATTTTTGATTGTAGGTGAACACAATACCTTTATTTTATTTATTTATTTTTATGTGGTGCTGAGGATCAACCCAGTGCCTCACATGTCCCAGGTGAGCGCTTTACCACTAAGCCACAACCCCAGCCCTGGTTAATGCATTCTTTACATTTTTTTGTACTAAGTCTTAGTGATTTAGCATGTATTTTATACTTAATAGCACATCTCAATTCAGACTAGCCATATTTTAGTTGTTCAAAAGCCACATGTAGCTAATGGTTACATTATTGGGCCATGTAAGACTAACCCATAGTTGATTTTTGGATTTTACCTTGAACTAACTTTCATTTTGCTTGGTAAGGGTACTGGATATTGAACTCAGTGGTACTCTACCACTGAGCTACATCTCCAGTCCCCAGTCATATATATATATATATAAATTTTTTTTTTTTTTTTTAATATTTATTGTTTAGTTATTGGCAGACACAACATCTTCGTTTGTATGTGGTGCTGAGGATCGAACCCGGGCCGCACGCATGCCAGGCGAGCGTGCTACCGCTTGAGCCACATCCCCAGCCCCCCCCCAGTCATTTATATTTTGAGACAAGGTCTTGCTAAATTGCCAGATCTTGCTTTGAATTTGTAATTCTGCCTCCTCCAGCAAAGTTGCTGGGTTTCTAGGCATGCGTGTGCCACTGTGCCTGACCTCAAAGATATTTTAGATATTTTCCTAACCATACTTACATAAAGCACACAGGCTGTGGCAGTTCAATTAAACAATCCCAAGAGGGCTGGGTTTGTGGCTCAAGCGGTAGCGCGCTCACCTGGCATGCGTGCGGCCCGGGTTCGATCCTCAGCACCACATACAAACAAAGATGTTGTGTCCGCCGAAAACTAAAAATTAAATATTAAAAAAATTCTCTGTCTCTCTCTCTCTTAAAAAAAAAAAAAATCCCAAGATGTCCTATAACTTGCTATCATATTAATGATTTAATTAGGTATTCTCTATCATGTCTATGTTATGTAGTATTGTATATCTAGCATGGTGTTCAGTACCTAGTAAGTTCTCACTAAATGTTTGCTAGGTAAATAACAAAAACAAAATGGCAGAATGTTTTGATCATTGCAGCTTAGAAGCATGCATGAATTGAATATTTTGTGTTAGCAATCATGGCATGTGCCAGTAGTTGACTTCTCTTGGCTGCTTTGAGTTTTGACCCTTTTTTTCTTTTCACACTGCAGTCAAAGCAAATCAGCCACAACTATTGTGTTTAATGTAGATGGAAGGAACCCATCACAGAAAAAAACACGGTTTTAAATGTGTTTGGGTGGGGTTTTTGATTATGGGCTTGCCGGTTTCTATGCCTTGCATTTTCAAGTTGCACCCAGAGAAATTTTACTTTCTTGGGATTCTCATCTGAAAATAGTTAATGATTTTATATAGATTTTTACCCCTAACCTTAATATTTAAGTCATTGTGTGCCTCTGGATGCAAGAGAACACACTTCTTGGGAAGACCATGAAAGACAAATACCATCTAAATGTTATCTTAAAACTTGAATGCTTGTGGTATCATTGTATTCTCTCAAGTACCTGTTTTGTCTCATATTTTAAATGCCCACTGAAGTAGAATATTGAACTCTCATAACAAAATATAATGAATGTATTTTCAGTTTAAATCATGTCCTTTTTCATTTGAGTGAATATATCCTGGCATTTTGCCAGGCACTAGGTCAAAATAATAACTGAGATCAAGTCTTTACTCTTAAGAAATATACCCCTTTAATACTGACACTGAAGGGAATTCTGGTGCTACAACTTTAAATAATAATTGGATTTATGATTTTTATAAAAAGACTTTTTGTTAAAGATGAAAACAAGTTTGGGGACTGAACCCAGGACCTCACATTCTATCGTAGAGCTATATTCCCAGCCTGGAAAACAAGACTCTTGATTCAGCAATGGCCATTTTCCAATAAATCTGTTCTGGCATTAAAAGAATAATTATATACATAACTGTAAATAAATAAAGAATGATTGTGGCTGTACCCCAGTCAGACTCTCCTACAAAATATTCTTGGTCTGAAGACTTACTCATTGAGTCTGCATTGCTACTACAAGCATTCCTGTAGCTTTAAATTTATTTTACATTGTCCCATATCTTGGTTGTTTTAAATAGTTGCTGAAATACACACTCTGCAAGTTGATATTTTCTCCATTATCTGTGAATCTTTCTTTTTGTAAATATTTTCATTTGTTCCTTTTAGTTATACATGACAGTAGGATGTACAGTGAATCTTATTCCAAGTTAAGAGGGTACCTTCATCTTGAACCCAACCTTTACCTATAAGACCGAGCCATCTTTGTAAAACTGGATCTATCATTGGAGGTGTGAAATCTGTCCACTCTTGAAAAGAAGCTCATTGCTTCCTTAGCAGTTCTTTGGTGGTACCATTCTTGTATCAGAGTTTAAAAGTTCCCAGGCTTTATAAATCACATAAAATAAGTTCTGCCTTGTCAGAGCTGTATGCAGTTGTTTGTCTGCTCTGTGTTGACAGTGAACAGTTCCTGCCCCTGTTTATAAACTAACTTGACTCAACCCTGGTCTTCTCTCTCTCGCACCAAAAATCTGAAAACAATTTTTTGTTTGTTTCTGGTGGTGCTAGGGATTGATCTCCAGAGGGTTCTACCTCTGAACTACATCCCCTGCCCTTTTTTTTTTTTTTTTCCAATTTTATTTTAAGACAAGAGTCTTGCTAAGTTGCCACAGGCTGGCCTCAAACTTGTGATCCACCTACCCTAGCCTCTTAAGTTGTTGGAATTATGGGCAGGCACAGTGTGCCTAACTCAAAATGCCTTTTGATAAATGTTATAAAAAATAAGTATTTAGAGTATTTGAAGGAAAAGAAAATGACTCAGTGTGGGGGGTTAGAAGAAGCTTCAGTCAAGAAGTAGGGATTTAAACTGGAGCCTGAAGGATAGAGAGCGGCAGAGGAGGGAACGGGCTGTATCACATAGGGGGCTTGAGGAATTCCTGAGGTGACTGGTGTCATGGCCACAACCAGATAGTCTTAAAACTTATGTAGATGATTGTACCTTGATACCATTTGGTTTTTACTTTAACTGTGAATTTTACTTTGCTAGTTTCATAATATGTAGTCCTCATGTTATAGGATCCAAATTGACATCAGATTTTATTCTCTCTCCTTTTAAAAATCATAGTGTATTCACAGCTCCAATAAATTTTTTTTTTGTGTTTGTGAATTTAAAAATATGGAATGCTTCACAAATTCACTGTCATTCTTGCACAGAGGCTGTGCTGTTATTCTCCATATCATTCCAACTTTAATATATGTGCTGCTGAAGCAAGCATGCAACAATAAGCTTTGTTTTTTTTCTTTTCTTTTTAATATTTATTCTTAAGTTTTAGGTGGATACAATATCTTTATTTTACATATATGTGGTGCTAAGGATCGACCCCAGTGCCTTGTGCATGCTAGGCGAGTGCTCTACCACTGAGCCACAACCCCAGCCCTTCTTTTTTTTTTTTTAATTGCATTATAGTTATTTGCATTATAGGGATTTGTTGTTACATAGAAATAAATGCACACAATATAACAATATCATTTGGTCAGTATCACTCCTCAGTGCTTCCTCCCTACTTCTCCCTCCCCAGTAAATTCTTGAATTTACTTCACAGACCCTAAAGTCTCTCTACTCTTTTCAGATGATAAACCAAGTTATTCTGTAGTGTGAATCTGAGTGGCAAAAGCAAGTTCTGTGACTTCAGATCCTTTGCTTTTTGTAATTTTGAAGAATGGTGGGGGAGCCTTTATTACATGATCTCTTCCCCTAGGATACCCATTAACATCTCAATATTATTTTTTTACAGTTTTGCCATTTTCTCTATGACACTTTGAAGTAATTATACCCTATTAAATAGTTATAGTCTTCCCTAAAGCTTTTTATTCTTCAGAAATTAACAAACCTTATTCTTTGAATATTTATCCCCAGTAGAGCTTTACCCATCAGTTCTCAATCTCAGATTTTTATCCTCTTTAAATTCCCTTCTTTTCCTTCTTTATAAAATCAATATTTGCATACATTTGCAGTTACTTGTGTGACTTCCTAGACAAAATTGCCTCACAGGCAGCTAGCATCACACAGTGGTGGGCCTCAAATCTAACTATCAGCTTAACAAGTTTGCTTGATAGTGTTTTGAATAATTTTGAGTTGATCCTTGTACACAAAAGTGCACAAGGACCTCTTCACCCCTCCACCTTTTACTTTGCTTCTGCCCAGTTCACAGGTTCCTTCCTGATCCCTTTAGGGATTGGAGTGTTACCCAACTAGGACTTTGGGCTGTAAGGCATAGGTGCTATAAGGACCCAAGGGGAAGCATTTCGCAGGAATAGGGAAAAGACACCAAAGCTCTGAGAACAACAAGAGTCATGAGGTGACTTAACTAAATTTACCAAATTAGGAGGAATCATTCACGTTTTAGCAATTCAGGTTATGCTCAGATTTTAAACACATTTTTCCTATTTGTTAACACATTTTTTAAGCAAGAATTAAGAAATCTTGCTGCTAAACCCATTTCTGACTTCTCTGTTCTTCGTCCTTTTTCACATTTATTAAAAAACGATTATGGCTAATTAACCACTTGAGGATTGCTTGGCTGCTCCAGGCTGAAAGGTTGCTGCTCTCAGGTCCAGTGATGCTATTGCTTTTGTTCCCACAGGCATAGAGTGTCAAGCTAACCAGGCATCTGCTACTTCCGAAGAGTGTACCGTTGCATGGGGAGTCTGTAACGTAAGGAAACGTCTTTACCTATCAGCATGGCTTGTAAACATATTGCTACTTTTCCTGCTTTGCCAGTCTTGAAAATAACTAGGAAAAAAATGACTAGCCAACCTTTCTCCCAAAAGGTATACAAATAGTACAAAAGATTTTAAATCCTCATACTGTTCACCTGTAACAGGATAAACATAATTAGTTATTGGAAAGAAATACTAGTTTGTCTTAATTATGAAGTACACCTAGTTTTGTTTGCAGTATTGTGAGGGTTTGTCTTTGGGAGACAAAGCCTATTGCCTGGTCTTGGGAATGATCTGTTTACCTTCTGAACAGACCCTTTTTTTAAGGTCAAGTGTCTGTGGAATTAAGATCGGAGGATAAATTGAGTTTTTAAGAGTGTGTGTGTGTGTGTGTGTGTGTTTTAAATGTAAATGTACTCAGTAAGGGTTTTTTTTTTTTAATATGGCTCATCAAGAAGAAATAAAAGCTGGATGTGGTGGCACACACCTGTAATTTCAGTGACTCGGGAGGCTAAGGGAGGAGAATCATGAGTTTGAGGCTAGCCTCAGCAATTTATCAAGACCCTGCTCAAAATGAAAATTTTTATAAAAAGGACTGAGAATGTGATTCAGTTGTTAAGCACCCCTGGGTTCAATCCCTAGTGCCCAAAAAGAAAATAGAAAGGAATTTTAAAACAGAAAAAGAAAAGAAAAACATGGCTCATGCCAGAAATGTTTTGTGTAGCATGGCTGAACTAAGTGTGTGGCCTTCAGGGTGTGACAGCTGTGAAGGTAACAAGCATCAAATGTGTTATTTCTAGCATATGTAAAAATTCATCCTTAGAACCATACAGTCCTAATCACAGTAGTTGAAACTGTCCTGTCCAGGCCTCCTATGCCAAGGGGACAAAGGACCCACAACTCCAGCATGACATAAGGAGTCACAGATTCTGGAGTCAGACTACCAATCCCTGTCTTTGTCTTATTTACTAAGTGACTTGAAGCCAAGGTATTTAACATCTCTACTCCTGGTTCCCTCATGTAAAATGGGGCGGATAGCAGGACACATAGAACTGTAATCAGGATTAAGTGGTTTAATGTTAAAAAGTATTTAGAACTTTGGGCACATAGTCAGCATAAACGTGTTAAAAAATCTAAATAAATAGAAATTTGGAGTTTAGTGGTCACGTGGTAGCTCTTAGTGCTTTTGTGTGGGTTTGAAATGCCTTCTCTACCCATGCCTGTGGTGCACTTTCTTCATTCTATGTCAGGACCCTTTGGCCAGTTTCACAATGGTTAGTATTGGCCAAAGGATGACTTTCATCGTTTGTGGGGGTAAAGAAAATATATTGGGCTCTTTGCTCTGTGTAACATTCAGGCATATATTAAGGATCATGTTCCTTTGTGTAGAATGAAAAGGGATGGATTTCCCCTCAAGTTTTGTTAAGGAAAGGGTCTCTTAGAGATCCTGCCATAAAGGAGAACTAGCATAGAGTGCTAGAAGCCAGTCTTGAGTGCTGATGCTGAGTCTTCTACAGACCAGCTCCATGAATTAGGCAAGTCACTTAACTTGTCTGGGTTTCAGTTTCCTGTCTGTAAAGTTAAGATAATAATATCTGTCATGCCTGCTTGCCAGGGTTGCTGTGAGGCTCAAATGAGGTAATATATGTCAATATCTGTAAACTGTGGAGTACTGTCAAGAATCCTCTGTGGATTGTACCTTGTCTGCTAAATATACCTGTTAGTACGCTTAGATTACTAACAGGAAGAAAGTTGGGATCAAAAAATGCTCAGGGATGTTGTCACCTGTCCTGAAGTCTCATTTGCCGCCCCCACTTGCCCTTGAGCACTTGATGTCATCTCATGGGCTTGGGTAAAGGATCCTGTGATTTGGCAGAGTGCTTAGTAGGGAAAGTCGGAGATGGCGGTGGGTATCTTGCATGTGCTTGCATGAGCCTTTTCCCAGCACCTGGGGTTGAGAAAAATGTCTCCACTTTCTGCCTCTTGGAGAATCTGCCTGTTTCCTTTTTCACATTGAGTTGTATGAGAGTCTGCAGGAGTGGGATCTTTTAGAAGGCTGTCATTCTGTAAAAATGTGCTAGCTATGGAGCCCATTCTTAATTACTGAATTAGATTTTTGTTGCCAAAAGATAGTTCACAAGACAATAATCTATATTGTAAGTTTCTTAGGTTCCATGACTATTCTGAGAGACATATCAGATTTTAAAGCTGTTATTAAACCAAGCCTACAAAAGCTTTGGTTGTTTTGTTGGGGTGTCTCTGTATTCCTCTCCTGTGCCCCACTGCAGCCCAGCAATTACAGATTAAATGAGGGGGAACCCTTTCTGCTCCTCTTGATCTTCTCCTCATATGAGTGAGGCAGGAGGAAGAAAAGTGTTCATTGCAGTCTTAACTAGCATCTGCATGTCATCAACTCACACCAAAAGGCTACACACAGATTCTCCTTTTCCCAAATCCAAGCCAGTTCCTAGCTCCTGTCCATTACCAGTGTTCTTGGGACACTTGCCTTTTTACTTCTTGTCTTAGTCATGAAAATAGCCTGTTGATGCCCTTTGAGCTGCTTGTATACAGTTTGTCCTTCTGAGTACTTTTTTTAAACCGCAATTTTCCTTTTTACAACAAAATCCTCATTAAAGCCTTATTGAGTGCCGAGCTCTTGTAACATCAGTATTAAAGTTCCTTTGATTAGAGTTGAGTTGGGTGTGGGGAGGTGCCTATTTTAGTCCTGGGTGGGTAGCAGTGGCAGCGCACTCCCTATAGATGGAGAGGAGTAGGCTTTACTCCCTGGGTCCTCATTCTTCAAGGGTGAGAGGAGGCTGGTGACTGGTGACCAAGATTGGGGAAGTTGGAAATCTGTGTGTGCTCAGGTCATTTCTCAAGGAAAGTAGAAGCATCCCCTAATACGTTCCATAGTCCTTAAAGGGGAGAGAGCTCACTGCTAGAACATAATCTGTGCTCCCTAAATAATTTCTTCAGTAATAATGGCAATTCTAACAAATGTTTTTGTTGGAAATATCTTTGTACAAGGGTATGATCCTTTCTGGAACTTTTGCCCATCGTTTTCTGCTCTTGTTTTCCAACCCATGGTATGTATTGCTGCACTGTCTAGTGAGAGGTGTTGTCAGTAGATGGTAAAGCTTACACAGAGTTATTTTTAATAAAAACATTTTTTCTTTCAGCATGCTTTTCACTTCCACTGCATCTCTCGCTGGCTCAAAACACGGCAGGTGTGCCCATTGGACAACAGAGAGTGGGAATTCCAAAAGTAGGTATCTCTGGCCGTTGGCATCGTTAGAAACCTGGGCTTTATAGTTAGTTCTATTTTCTGACTCACCTTAGGCTGGAAGAGGATGGAGACATGGAACATGGCTTGTTTTTTAAACTAACTTTTAGTTAACTAAGCAAGAACTTGCCTGTGTGGACAATGCACAGAAGATTAGCCAACATTAAAAGTTTGCAACCTGAGGTTTCCCCACCTTTTAGTGTCTGTGACAGGAATTCAGGAGGCTGAGGCAGGAAGGAAGACTGCAAGTTTGAGGACAGCCTGGGTAA